TTATGAGTCTCTCCTCAACAGGCATGATGAAAACAATCATTTCCCACAAAGGTACACTCAGAATCACCCCTGGATGGATTACATGGCCTTAAAAGCCTGACTCTGCCTGAAGCTTTCCTTAATGGCTCATTACTAGCACAGTAAATTCTGACCCTTAGTAATGGCTACAATTTCATGGACCTCAGACTTCCATCAGATCAGGCCTGAGCCCAGGTGGAGAGTTCTGCAGGAAGGCACATGGTGTGCATCAGCCCAACTGCCCACACCCTTTCCTGGTGGACTGAGCAACCCTTCCACTAGCAGTGGATCCCTAAATTCTGTTAAGGTTTTTTTGTTTTGTTTTGGCATGACTGGGGTTTGAAATCAGGGTCTGAGTCTTGCTAGGCAAGTGCTCTATCACGCTATGCCCCCAACCCTGGGCCCTCAATTCTGCAAAGGCAGAATGTGATCTGGCAGAAAGAACTGTTCTTATAGTGCATTTCTTATGATTCTCACTTAGGGTCTATAGTACCCATCATTAGCTTCCAGTTTTAGGGCATTCATGTTAGCTTACACAATTTAATAAACATAATCCTGAAAGGACCAATGACAGCCCCCTGTAGTTTCTCTAACTCACAGGGGCTACATCATCAGTCATTCTGTATTTGCTTAATAATTTCTTACTGAGTTCCAGGGAAACTTGGGCAATGTATGTGCAAAAGAAATGGAGCCCAGATCATAAGAGCCTGAAATACCTAGTTACAAGTTTCAGTTTGTAGCAGAAGACAATAGCAAGTCTCCATTGGCTCTTGAGTGGAATGGTATGATGTGAACCACGTTTTCAGTTTAATTGAACAAACCACTCATGAAGGAAAAGGACCAGTCCCTGATGCCAAAAATAAGGAAAGCACTGTGGTAAGCCCAGAGAAGAAAGTCCTTGCCTTCAAAGGATTTATAGTTGCTAGATTTTATTTTTTATATTTATTTATTTATTATTTATTTTTGCAGTACTGAGGCTTGAACTCAGAGCCTCCACCTTGAGCCACTCCACCAGCCCTTTTTTATGATTTTTTTTGCCCTTAGCTATTTGCCTGGGCTGCCCTTAAACCGCAATCTTCCTGATCTCTGCCTCCTGAGTAACTAGGATTACAGGTGTGAGCCACAGGTGCCTAGCTGTTTTTATTTTTAATATAGGAGTAGAATTTTGAGGTATTAATCAATGTGGTTTGTTCTGTCCATTTCCTTAGGGTAAAGATAGCACAGAGATTTTAAAAAGAACAAAAAGAGTTGATTCTTGACTTCCAGTTTTCAAAATGGACTTTAAGAACCCCTGCAGAGTCTATAGTTTCAGAGATGAGAGATGCATTTTCATAATCTACAATGCTACAAAAATGAGATTTGGAAACAGGACCAGCTATATAATTTGTGAGACCCAAGAAAAAACTGCTGTTAAAGTACTAGAATAGAAAGGTTTCCTTCTGCAGTCTGTCTCTCAACCTGTCATAGTATTTTTTGTTTTATTTTGTTTTCATTGTTATATGTTTACTGTCGTCTTAAGTAAACAAAACTTGATACTAACTTATTAGCCTGGATTTTATTGTTGATTTTTATATTGTACAATACCAGTAAATGCAAATATAAGAGCATTCAATGCCTATGTGGAATCACTGACATTGTCCAACTCCTATTTCATTATGTGATTAGTCTTATCAACAGATGGGAACGTTGAACAATTAACTCAACTGTTTTTTGTTGCACTTCTCTCACCCTGCTACCTTTAACTTGCTGACCAGGAAGGAAGGCCACAAAGGAAAAAGAGCCATAGGTTCCCTGACTTCCCTTTCTTTCTCTGTTGGTATGTTCAGCATTTGTTACTTATATGGGAAATAGCTCAAGGAAGAAAGGATGATTCTTTGGTCACTGGTGGCTCTTAGAATGCCAGTATCTTGGATTTGAATGGAGACAGTGACCTCTGGGGCTGTCAGCACCCCCACTTCCTCCAAGATGAAGCACACTTACAACTTGCTGGACTCCAGCAGAATTCAGTGCTGGCTCTCTGGGCAGTAAGGAACAGCAGGCCAACATCTGATGCATTGCCCTCAGCCCATGCTTTACCCTCTTAGTGGACACCACCTTCATACCACAACTGAAAATGAAATAAAGACTTTCAAGCAGAACATTAAACCAGATCTGTAACTTTCCGCATGTGAGGGCAGCCCAGGGGCACATCTGGAAGGGTGGATGAAGGGCCAGGCTACCCTGTCACAGACAGGATAATGATGCTGTGAACTGCGGATGGGAAAGAAAGCCAGGAGCTCCACATACGAATGTGTCTCTGAGAAATGGGGCTCAGAGTTCTCCCACTCCATGTCCTCACCTGGTCAGACCTCAGAAAATCCTCAGGAGGTGGAAAAATATAAAGTCAAGGAAGCTGGGCTCCAGTGGCTTACATCTGTAATCCTAGCTACTTGGGAGATAAGGATATTATGGTTCTAGGGCAGTCCAGGCAAATGGGTCACAAAACCCCATCTCCAAAATATCCAGAGTAAAATAGACTGGAGGTGTAGCTCAAGTGGTAGAGCACCTGCTTTGCAAGTGCAAAGCTCTGAGTTCAAACTCCAGTTCCACCAAAATGAATTAATTAATTAAAGTCAAGGAAGACCCCTACCTCACTTCCAAGCTTCATGTAATCTGTTGTAAATATAGAAACTCACAAAAAGAAAAAAAAATTAGGTTATCTATAATTCTACTGTCCAGAGACAGCCATTATTAAAATTTGGCCCACAGATAATTTTAAATATATGTAAATGTAACAAATATGGTAAATATCTCTCATACCACTGCATATGCATCTTTGTTTTATATAGAATTACTGTATATGAATTGTACAGAGGGAGTTCATTGTGATATTTCCATACATGCATATGACATGCTTTGATCAAATTTGCCCCCTCTATGACTCTTTCCCATTCTCCTCCCCTTTAAACCATTTTTAACAGGTTTCATTATTCTATTTTCATACACGTGTATAAAGTGCTGAGACCATATTCACCCCCTCACCTTCTGCTTTTGTCCTTCCCCTCAAGCTCATTCACACCCCTACAGAGTCCCCATTTTGCACTCTTGCCATTTGTTTTTTAAGATCTAGTTTGTACATGAGACAGAATATGCAATATCTGTCTTTCTCAGTCTGGCTTATTTTGCTTAACACCATGATCCTAATGATCTATTGTCACACAAATGATACAATTTCATTCTTCTTTATTGCTGACTAATACTCCATAGTGCATATATACCACATTTTCTTTATCCATCTGTTGATGGGCACCTTGGCTGATTCCACAGTTTGGCTGTTATGAATGGTGCTGCTATAAACATGGGTGTGCAGATATCTCTATTGTATGCTGATTTGAATTCCTTCAAATATATGCCCAGGAGTGTATAGCAGGATCATATAGTAGTTATATTTTTAGTCTTTTGAGGAACCACCGTACTGATTTCCATAGTGGCTGCCCTGATTTACATTCTCACCAATAACTATGTTCCCCCGTCTCTTGACGAATGCCATTCTTACTAGGATGAGATGGAATCTCAATGTCATTTTGATTTGCATTTCCTTTATGCCTAAGGATGTTGACCTTTTCTTCACGTAGTTATCAGTCATTTGTCCTTCTTTTGAGAACTGCCTATTCGATTTATTTGCCCATTTATCAATTAGCTTGTTTGTTCTTTTGGTGTTTAATTTTTGGAGTTCTTTGTATATTCTGGATATTACTCCTTTATCTAATGAATAGCTAGCAAAGATTTTTTTCTCCCATTCTGTAAGTTGTCTCTTGATTCTGGTCATTGTTTCCTTTGCTGTGCAGAAGCTTTGCAATTTAGTGCATACCATTTATCAATTCTTGATCTTATTTCCTGAGCAATTGGAGTTCTAATCAGAAAAGCATTACCTATGCCAGGCGCATGTGGCTCACACCTGTAATCCTAGCTTCTCAGGAGGCAGAGATCAGGAGGATCATAGTTCAAAGCCAACCCTGGGCAAATAGCTGTTGAGACCCTATCTCAAAAAAAATCCATCACAGAAACAGGCTGGCAGAAGCTCAAGCTGTAGGCCATGAGTTCAAACCCTAGTACTAAAAAAAAAACATTACCTATGCCTGTATCTTTGAGGAGTTTCCCTAGTAGTTTCATAGTTTCAGATCTTACATTAAAATCTCTAATTACATTAAAATCTAAAATTTTAGCCATACATTTTTAAAATATATGGAAATGTAACAACACATGATAAATATTTCCCATACTACTGCATATGGTTTTTTTGTTTGGTGGGACTCAGGGTTTTGTGCTTGCAAAGCAGGTGCTCTACCCCTTGAGCCACACCTCCAGTCCTCATTTGTTTTTTAGACAGGGTCTCATTACATAGCCCAAGGTGGCCTTGTCCTGCCCCAGCCTTCTGAGTGCTGGGATTATAGATGTGAGTCACCATACCCAGTGAGGTCACATATGCTTTTAGAAAATGATTTTTAATTCAACTTTGCTATTTATTTATTTGCAGTGCTGGCAGTTGAACTCAGGGTCTTGCACTTGCTGGGCAGGCAGTCAACCACTTGAGCCACTCCACCAGCGCTCAATTTTGCTTTTTAAGGTGACCAGTTTGGTGGTAGTTTTGAACAACGAGTAGCTGAGAGAAGAATCTGTCCTGGTAAGTGATCTGGACTAGAGGTTTACAGTGAGAAGATAAAGGAGGGAATAATAATAGCAATGATAATTCAAAAGGATCACGGTCCACATTTGAGATACTGTTAGATGAAAAAAGTAAGATTCCACTACACATAGTTCAAAAGCAGGCAAAACCTGAGTACACGAGTCAGTAATTCCTACATAAGCATTAAAGCAATAAAGCCAGGCATGGTAGTGCCCTGCCCGCCAACCACCGGGAAGGCCGAGGCAGGAGGATAGCAAGTTTGAGGTCAGCCTATGCAATTTAGGAAGACCCTGTCTCAAAAAAAAACTGTAAAGGGTGAGGTGTGGCTCAGTGGCAGAGCACTTACCTGGTATGCAAGAGGCCCTGGGTTCAATCCCCAGCACTGCAAAACAAACAATAGGGAAAGACAAAACTCATGCAGGTGGATCTGGAGGAGGGCCCGGGAGGCAAATATGTTTAGAATAGACACACAGTGGCTTCTCAAAAAACTGCCAGTATACCCTGCCAGTGTGAACCCAGTGGTTCACACTTGTAATCCTAGCTACTCAGGAGGCAGAGATCAGGAGAATCATGGTTCAAAGTCAACCTGGGCAAATAGTTCAAAAGACCGTATCTCAAAAAACCCATCACAAAAATAGGCTTGTGGAGTGGCTCAAGGTGTAGGCCCTGAGTTCAAATCCCAGTACTGAGAAGAAAAAAAAAACTATCAATGTCCTATTTCTTAACATGGATGGTAGACACACAAGTGCCAATTTATTATTTTACAAATGTACACCTTAGCTTTATATAATCTTTGGAATATATGATGGCATACAGGCCTATATATCTGAGGCCAATTCCTAAAGTTAAGTCTTCCCCAACCCCTTCTTCTGTATCCTGAAGTTTGCCAGGCAGTCTGTACAAACAGGCTCTTTCCCAGAAACACTGTCTTCTTCATCACTCACAGAATTTAATCTCATATCTCTTAAGCAGCTGACTGGAGTACATTTATCTGAAATGTTGTTTCTGAACCGTTTCCAGCAGTGATGTGAGATGCACTGGAACACGGATACACAGCACACAGGACATACAGCTCCAACCATGCACAGCGGGGGTTGGGGAAGCATTTACTCTGACGATTCGGCCGTAAGCATGAGCAGCTGGTGTAAAGCCTGCTGTTCCAGCCCCAGGACCACTTCCCCCAACCAAGCCTGGGATGCTGAAGGGGAGAAGTAGCTGCCACCTATCTCACAGGGTCCTCTTCAGGTTACAGCAATACCCCAAGGACAAAGCTACACCGTGATTTCTCCTTTCTTTTATCACACTGGGTACGGTGCTACATGAGAGCATTTCAGCAGGTTCCCAGGTAGCTTTATTCTATTATGTGCACAGTATATTTTCTTCTAATGTTACATGCATATTATATGTTCATTGTTATCTTTGACCAGGTGTGGTGGTACACACCTATAATCCCAGCTACATGAGAGGTGTAGGTAAGAGGATTGCAGACCAAAGCCAGCCTCAATAAAAATATGAGATCCTATCTCAAAAATAACTAAAGCAAAAAAGGTTAAGAGTATAGCTCAAGTGGTAGAGTACCTGGTAAGTAATCATGAGGTCCAGAGTTCAAACCCTATACCACAAGGAAGGAAGGGATCTTCACTTTGTTGGTACACGAAGGTGCACAGGGACTTTGTGGTTCTTAAGAAAATAGGATACATGCAGTGGGTAGCCTCACCCCATGACCTTAACACAACTGGAGACCCAAGAGACTATGATTCCAACAATAATTCAATTTTGAGCCATTTTTATCTGCCTGACCATGGAAAAGTGCTCTATGCACATATGTATATGTCATATACAGGTGAACACACATTTCCATTTGTTCAAAGATGGCCTCTCACCTGAAAAAAAAAAAAGGTGGCTTCTCTCCTCCTTAATTTTCATCATCATCTTCTTCACAAGAAAGTGCAGAGTCTGCTAGGGAACTCACACCATCAAAATCACTTCTAGACCCATTGCTGCTGCTGGACTGACCAGACAACACAAACTATGCCAACTCCTAAAAAACATGCACAATGGAACTTCGAAAAATCCTGTGACTTATTTCTGGCATAACCCAGGTAGTAACCACTCCTGTCTATCTCAAGTTCTGTCTTTTCACTTTGTAACAGAGGCAGGAGCACTCTGAACACATTACCCTGCTGGAACAGTTTGAGATCTTACCCTTGATTTATAGTATAGACATCCATAATAGGAAGTATGAATTCTGATAAACAGGTCTTTGTTCTAAGTCTGGTGCAACATAGAACTGATGAGTTATAAATCTCTTCAAATAATTATTTCACAATGGGTACTCAATATACTTTTCACTCTGCCATTATCCCATCCATGACACGCCACAAAAATAGGTGAAAAAGTGTGAACACCAGTGCCTTCATTTAAAATGCTGATAGCACAGTTCTAGTAACCTTTGGACAAAGCACTTCTGTGACAATTCATAGATTCAGTGCAACTAGGTTAAAAGTGCTAAGAATGAGAAGTTAGCTTTGTTATTTTCCCCCCAATAAACTTCTCCAAAATAACTATAATCCCCAGCATAGAACTTCTACAAACATTGAATATGCCCTCAGAGCTTCACAATTGAGTAAAAGAAATCAGAGATTTCCCTCCAAAGATTAACTCCTCTATAAATTAGAGATTTACCATATGTAGGCAATTTTAGAAAGAAATTTGAAGGTATTTTTTATTTTAAAGTCTTTAATAGCTGATGCATGCTGATAGAACAAATTTGGAAGCTAGAAAAGAATAGATAGCTAGGCATGTGTGGCTCATGCCTATAATCCTAGCTATCTGGGAGGCTGAGATCAAGAGGGTTGCAGTTCAAGGCCAGCCTGGGGAAAAAGGGGGGACCCCCTACCTCCAAAATAACCAGAGAAAAATGGACTGGAGGTGTGTCTCAAGCAGTAGAGTACATGCTTTGCAAGCACAAAGCCCTGAGTTCAAACTCCAGTTCCACCTAAAGAGAAGATAAGTTCCTCTCCCACTGTGGCCCCCACCATGCCCCAGTTACCTTCCAGGAGGTAAACATTGTTGCCAGTTTGCAGTTTTATATATGTGTGTTTAAATATATATACAAGTTAATATATGTACTTATTTTTCTAATGTAAATGATAATGTATATTATTTCTGCCTTTTTAAAATTTTTTTTGGTGGCGGGAGGGAGGGCCCAAGATGACCTCACACTCCTGGGCTCAAGCAATCCTGCTTCAGTCTCCAGGGTAGCTGGGGCTATAGATGTATACCATGATGTCTGACTGTTTCTGTACTTTCTTTTTTTTCACTTTTAGTGTATCTTGGAGTTACTTCCCTATCAAAGGAGTTACTTCCCTACAAAGGAGTTGCTTTGATCTTTTTAAAAAAATTTATTTTATTCATATGTGCATACAATGTTTGGGTCATTTCTCCCTCAGTTGCTTTAATCTTGAAGGCTGCATAATAATTCACTATATAGGCGACTACAATTGTAATTTCTCACCTTTTGCTAGTACAAGCTTCGCGACAACCAATGGCTATACTGCATCTGTAGCTAAACTTCTAAGGAGTGGAATGCTGGGTCCAAGCAAATGTATAAACTTGATGGCTGTTGTCAAATTCTCTTTAACACAGTCCTACTATCGAGTGGGTATTTCACAGGGCACTGGAACGATCGCTACTGTGCTCATCTTTAAGTACTCACATGTACTAGGGCACGGTGCCCTAGTACTCTTGTTACAGGCACAGCCACCCCCACTTCATAGCCTAGGTGTTAGCAAGAACTGGCCCATTGTGTGCCACTCTGCTTGCATTTTGCAGTCATAGATCTCCCCGCATGGGAATCAAGGTGCGGTTATCCAGGCTTTTAAAAACAATCCTGTATCTGCGGATGTATATCCAACCTTTTTTCTTAAATCTCCAGTCGACTCCGGAGTTTCTGGTGTTTAGAAAGTGAAACTTAATAGAAACCAACATGAAAAATCAGCAGCAGGCTTCCTCTTTAGTTGACTGCAGCACAAACAGCCAAATTACGAGAAATAAGTTACAGTTTTTAAATTCCCTGTTTAATTGCCACAAATGTTAATGTGACTACGAATTATTTTTAACCACTTATCATTACATGAAGAATGGACATCTCAAAGCATAAAGGCCCTATCTAAAAGCCACAATTAAAAAAAAAAACCACCACCTAAGACTAACTTTGCTTTTGTTTGAAATGTGCAATTGTGTCCCTTTCTATGGCCCATCTCCCGAATAAATTCTAAGTTTAGAATTGCTACATTTTAGTAGATACAGGGAGCCAGGTTGGAATCATTTTTTCTGATTTCAAAGGGTTTAGGTCTTAGCCAGCTTGAGCAAATTCTTGGAGAACATTTCATGAACTCACAAGAGACGAATTCATTTGACATGCTTAGGAGGCATGTAAAACAAAGTGGTGTCGAGTTTTCAAGCTTGAGAAAATTGGGGGATTCCCCGTGCGGGAGACCCACAATGAACACTTGGAATTATGAAAGGGCTCACAGAGTGGAGTTCTTCCCAGTCTTTGCACATTCGGTAGGATTTTTCCTTCCCCGTGGAGGGGCAGAAGCGCCAGCGCGAGCTGCTTCTGCGGTCGGAGGAGTGTCTATAAATAGTAGGTGAAGTGTTCTAATACAGCTAGGGCGCGTCACAGCTCCGCTCCCCGGGAACCCGGGACCGGCGGGGGCCCCCGAACCCCGAGCCTCGGCCGGCGGGAGACGGACTTCGGGGCGCCAGGCCCGGATGGCTGGTGATCGCCCCCTGCACGCCCCCCACCCCCACCCCCCGCCAACACGGAGCAGCCGGGGCCTGGGGCGGCGGGGCACTGTCGCCAGCCACGTGGAGGATAATTTAGGTCCGTTGAAATCGACAATCCCAAAGCGTCAGTTGGAGCAGGGGAGAATTCCCTCTAGTGCAGTTGATTAAAACACACAGTCCGCGTGTGGATTTCAGGTCCTTTTTTATTTCAGATCTGAATCTCTAAAGTCATTGTTGGAATTTCCATGGGCCTGGCTTTTTGTAAGCAGATCGTTCCGTGGGATTTCCCCCACCCTGGCTTCTGTTTTACTCTGCCTGTCCTTCCAGCTTGACCCGGTCAGGGTCTCTACCTCCTCTCCCTGCCTCACACACCATTTTGTTCCATTGGCGCTTGCTTGCTTGCTTTATTTATTTGGTTTTGTTTGTTTGTTTGTTTATCCTGCAATTCTTTCCTCCCTTCTGATTGGCGCCTCCTTTGCGTTCTCCCTGCCCTTTTATTTCAATCTGTCATAATTTTTCCTTCCAGTTCCTTCTCTCCTTTATTTTGCTGTTGCAGGTAGCCACATCTGCATGACTTTTTCTTCCTGCTGCCCGTAA